GGCCACCCTCTCTCCAGCTGGTACCTGCTCTTCATTAGGGAATTGGACAACCCTAGCCAGCTGCCCGGTAGCAAAGGCTGCATCCAGCCTTGTGTGAACGGCCGCATACATGAGGCTGCCCACCAAGGAGTGAAAACGCCGCCTCTCCTCTTCACCAACACTTTCCTCCCCTGGTCCTTTCACACACTTGAACCCTGAGGGAAGAGGAGTAGCCACATGACCTTCACTCTTCCCAAAGTTTGCAGCCAAGGCCTCCAATTACTTCTTTTGATGCACTCGCATCCACCGCTTCTCCACATCTCGCTCAATGTGAAGCCCAAGGTAGTAGTTGACGTCACCAAGGGTCTTGCACTTGAACTTGTCTTGAAGCTTCAGCATCACATCCTTCACAAGGTCAGAGGAGGGTGAGAATATGAGGATTTCATCCACATAAACCACCATGAAGCTCCTCTGCTCCCCCTCACCAAGCATGAACAAGGATTGATTGGCCGTTGAGGGAGTGAAGCCGATCGCCTCCAAGACTTCCCGCAGCTTGATGTACCATTGCCTAGGGGCTTGCTTGAGGCCATAGAGTGCTTTGATAAGCTTCCACACTCTGCCACTCCCATCATTGTACCCCTCTGGCTGCTCCATGTAGGTGTCTTCCTCCAAAACGCCGTTGAGGAAGGTCGTAACTATATCCATTTGCTTCACCACCAATCCTTTGATGGCCGCCGCGGCGAAGAGGGTTTGAAGGGTTGTACCCTTGACCACAAGGGCATACAATTCATTGTAGTCCTTCTTCTCTTGCTGCTGATACCCCTTGGCTACAAGTCTGCTCTTGTAGTGCTCGATGTTGCCGTCGGCGTCGGTCTTGCGCTTGAAGAGCCACTTGGAAGAGATCGCCTCGCGCCCCGGAGGTAGGTTCACCAAGTCAAATGTGTCGTTCTCGATGATGCTCCTCATTTCTTCATCTGAGGCCTTCTTCCACTCCTTCCCATTGGGGCCCTCCCAAGCCTCTTTGGGATTTGTAGGCTCCCCCGGCATCTCCACCGGAGAGAAGAAGGCAAAGGCGCACTCCTCGCTTTCATCTTCCGCATCATCACCTAGCATGAGAGCCGAACCGGTCAAGGTTGAGTTGGCTGGTCCTCCAAGCCTGTCATAGCTCAACCTAGTAGGGGGCTGATATCTCCTTCTCCCCCTTCCTTCCTCCTCTGCTGCAGGGACTTGAATGCTCTCATGGCGTTGCGGTAAATCTGGTCGGTTCCCACGAGCACTTGTAGCACGAGGCGGAAGTGACGGTGCACGCTCATCATCTTGCTGCACCTCCTCCTCCTCCTCATCCCCATTCATTTGAGGAGATTGCCTCGTGATTATGCTGCTGCTACTCAGCTCCAAGGGCAGCTCCACATGCTCCAAGCCGGTTATCCTCACCTCTCCAAGCCACACACCAATCTTCGCTTGATTCTCCGCCTTCCACTCCTTGTACGGTAAGTTCTCCATGAACTTGCAATCTCTGCTCACCAAGAAATTCTTGGTAAATGGGTCCTAAAGAAGCCATCCCTTGCAATTTTGAGCCATGCCCAGGTGCACGGCCCATGTTGCCTTGGCATCAAGCTTGATGTGACGGATTTGGCTGCTCCCCAACGCTTGCCCAAGTAGAAGGTAGCCTTGTGCGCTCTTCCGCACCCACGGGCTCTTCTCTGGGTCGTTCTTGAAGCACTTCTCTGTTCCTTCCATCACCTCCAGCAGATCATAGTGGTCAAAGATGTTCTCCATCTTGAAGGACCACTCAGCAAAGTTGTCACCGCTGAACTTGTCAAGGCCAAACACTCTAGGCTCATCCCTAGAGGGTCCAAGGCTAGGTTGCACCGGAGCAACGGGTGGATCTTGGAGTTGACCTTGTGCTTGGGCGTCTTCTCTGCCTCCAGCACCTCTGCCACCCCCTTCCTCAGGTCTAAGCATGCTCGAGACGGCTCCAAGGGGCTCTGATACCACTTGTTATAATCACAATAGGCTCAGATGTGCCTAAAATGAGAGAAATTGTGCACAGTTAGAATTCCGTCAGACAGCTTCAAATATTGATGCCGATCTGATATGAGCCCCAAACGAAGATCTTGAAATAAGATCTCGAGCGCGTTGCTGTCGCCTATCAGCAGCAAGTTGAATCATAAAAATCCATGAAGATTTGACGACGCTTTGGCGGTTTGACTGGCAAAAGGTATAGCAGCCACTATAGTCCTGGAAGTACAAACTTAGCAAGAAGAGTTCGAGATGGAGATGGTTCCCAGCCTCTACATACCCCAAGAGCCGAGGTCCAAGTTGGTGGTACACCACCACAGAGTCCCCAACCATGAAGTGTCTCGAAACAAACCCTCCAAGGGGCTACATCAAGTGAAATGTAACACTATACGAAGTAGCGTTACTATTTTCACTATTTAATATTTATCCGTGTCCCTTGGGCTTGAAATCTTGAGCTCTTGGTCTTGGATCTGCAAGATAAATTCTTGTTAAGTTGATGGAGGCTTTCTGCACACACCTGCGATGCGATGGACACTTCACACTCAACAATATAGAAAAAACACATGCGACACACAAACGACGACTTGACATGCGAGTTGTAAAAACTCGCTAATGTCTTGACCGACACAAACCACATTGTGATACACCATTCAAACACACACAAAAGCACTGGATAGCAATGACATCGACTCACAATTCATTCCATGCCATGCATGCACACACACAAACAAGGACGACAAGCCGAGTGCAAGCCATAGGGTTGCACCAATACCTCCAACTTGTGATACCATGCACGAGGCGCCTGCTTAAGGCCATAGATGGCCTTCTTCAGCCTGCAGACCCTGCCGCTCCCATCATCCAGCCCCTCTGGCTGCTTCATGTACACCTTCTTCAGAATGATCCGACTCAGAAAGGCAGCCACAATCTCCATCTGCCGTATCTTCCATCCCAGGAGTGCAGCTATCGCCAACAGCACCCTCAGTGTTGTTCCTTTCCCCACAGGAGCAAACACCTCATCATAGTCCTTTCCCTTTGTCTGCTGAAACCCCCTTGCCACAAGCCTAGACTTGTAGCGGGTCAGCTCCCCTTCAGGTCCATACTTGTGCCTGTAGATCATCTTGGAAGTCATTGCCTTCTTCCCAGGAGGAAAGTCACAGAAGTCCCATGTCTCGTTCTCAATCAGGGACCCGAACTCCTCATCCTCACTCGCCTTCCACTTCTCCTCATTTGGTCCATTCGAGTCTTGGGCTCAGGGATTGGTGCCCAGTAGCAGTGAACGATCTCATCTTCCTCAACCTGCTCAACCATACTCCCAGCCTCCACCACATTCGGCTTGCCTCTTCCCCCATAGGTCAGCCTCACCTGAGGGCGCACATCCCTCCTAGGTCGCTCAGGCAGGTGTGGAACTCGAGGTGGAGACTCATGCTGCTGCTGCTCCACTTCAGCTTCTCCCCCTTCCTCTGTCACCCCAGACATCTCCTCCTCAGACACTGCAACCTCCACTTGTCTTGAAGGCTGCTGCAACTCATCTGCCTCCACAATTAGCGGTGTAGATGGAAGCTTCTGTTGCTGCTGCTTCCATTCCTTGTAGTACAGGGACTCAAGAAACTTCACATCCCTTGACACACTCAGCTTTTGGGTGGTCAAGTCCCATAGCAGCCACCCTTTGTGATCCTTTGCAATCCCCAAGTGCACACCCCATCTTCCTGAAGCCTCCAACTTCCCCCTTTTCTCCTTAGGCACATGAAACACCACCATGCACCCAAATGCCCTCAGCATGTTCACAGCTGGAGCACTCCCATACCACTTGACATATGGGATCCACTCCTTATCCCCAACTGTAGCCAGCACCCTGTTCTTCACAAGGGCGACCTGCCTCAGTGCAGACACCCAAAACGGATCAGGCAGCCCTGCACGCCCAAGGAGAGTGCGTGCCCCCTTCTGCAGGGTCCTGTTGAACCTCTCAGCCATGCCATTCTGCTGCGGGTTGTAGGGTACTGTCAGTTGATGTTGGATCCCCTTCCTCTTCAACTCCCCCTCAAAATCAGCTCCAATGAACTCCCCACCATTATCACTGCAGATCACCTTCACCTTGTGTCCGCATTCCCTCTGAGCTCTAGGCATCCACTCCTTAAGGACAGCCGCTGCCACCTCCCCCTTGCTCTTCAAAGGGTAAACCCACACTGCTCGAGTGTGGTCATCCACAATTGTCAAGAAATAGCGGCTGCCTGAGAGAGAAGGAGCTCTTGTGGGCCCCACCACATCCATGTGCACAAGTGCAAGTGGGGTCTTGGCTGGTCCTGTAGTGCTGTTGAAGGGGAACTTGGAGAACTTGGTCTCCAAGCATGTAGGGCAGCTCCCAATCTCCTTCACTCCTCCCTTGACCTCCAATCGTTTCAGGCTCCCATCCTTCACCAACTTCTGCAGCATAGGGAAGTTCACATGACACAGCCTCTCATGCCATGTCTCCCAATCGGCCTCACCACTCCTTGATGAAGCCTTAGCCCATGCTGCACTCGCATCCACACCAGCAAGCACCTCACCATGTGTCTGCTGCTGCTGCACTTTCTTGATTGCTTCCAGGACCCCATCATTTGGTGCAGTTGCATCTCCTCCTGCTGTTGCCTTTGCCGCTGCTGCCGTTGCTGCTGTTGGAGTCTTCCCATTCCAAGGGATGCTGGGCATCTGCCACAGGTCCTTGATGTAGTTGGTCTCCTCTTCCAGACTCCACAGCACCTTCTTCCCAAGCTTTGTATGGCTGCTGGTTAGTCCAAAGGTCACTTCGGCCTTGCTCTTCTGCAGTCGCCACACTGAGAGAAGGTTAGCAGACAAACCTTCAACCAGCAGAACATTTCCAAGCCCCACAAGCTCCCCATTAGCTCCCTTAACCTTGGCATTCCCAAAACCAATTACAGGGAGCAAAGAACCTGACGCTGCTGCCACATACTTAATCTTCCCAGGGGGTTTTACCTTATCAAGCAAATCTGCCCGTGGGGTCATGTGACTGGTGCAACCTGAATCAATCACCCAGTGCGTGAGAGGGTGCATCACAACCTTTCCCACAGATCCCACATCACCCTCATGCCCATGCACATCCTCAACCATGAGAAACATCCCAGGATAGGTATTACCTTGTGCACCTTCACCTTGTGCACCTGAGCCTTGCACAGTGCCACCTTGTGCGCGTTCATCACTGGGTGGCTTCATGCCTGGAGGTGCCCATCCCTCCGGCCTACTGAAGCACTTGAACCAAGGATGCCCGACCTTCTTGCAGTACCAGCAGGTGCCCTCCATTCTAGTACTCCCCCTGCCACTAGAGCTCCCATGCCCCTCATTATAGTCACCTCGGCCTCTACCTTTGCCAAAGCTCCTCCCACTGCCTCGGCCTGTCCAACCCCCTCTTCCTCTGAGGCGCCCTGCAGCTCCATACCCCTCAGCAATCTTAGTGGAGGCACCACCTCCCACATGGCGTCTGCGGAAGTCCTCCTGCAGAATCTGCTGCCTTAGCCACTCAGGTGTCCATTGATCTTGCTGAGAGTTGAGGGTGGGGATGAGGTTGTCCCAAGAGTTGTCCAACACCGAGATGATCTTGGTGCACTGCTGCAGCTGAGATACACTGCTGCCCGCTGCTGCCATCCTTGCATAGGTGTCCTTGATCTTGTCAAGGACCGGCTTCACATCGTCCCCTGGTCGCATGGAGATGGCAGCAAGTTCCTTCTCGAGCACGATCACCATCGGGAGAGTGTTGGGCTGAATCACATCGCGTAGTAGTTTCCACGCCCTTGGACCCGAATCATCTGCTTTCACAAGATCCTTGATGTGCTCGAACATCTCCTTGTTGACCGATTGAAGGATGAGGTCGAAAAGCACCGCGCTTTTCTCAATCCACCGTTCATGTGGTTCGCCTTCATCCGACATCTTCTCCTCCCCAACATCAATCTTCAGTAGCTTGTATCGTTTGAAGGCACTCCTCATCCGCCTCCTCCATTCTTCATAGTTGGAGCCATCCTAAGCTTCAACTTTTGATGGCGGCGGCTCACTTGTCTTCTCAGGTACAGCTCCTCTTCCATTAGCATCTCCTCCCCTCTCATTCATCTTCTCCTTGAGAAATGACGAATTTCAGCTCCCCTTTGCTGTCCACACTCAGCTCCCTCGATATTTTCACAAGTGTCGGCGTCCACGAAATTTCGGCAGAGTTTCCCCTTAACGGAAGACACATCCAACCTTTAGAACACCACTTAGGCACACCCACAGGCCATGGTGGGTCTAGAAGGGTCTTCAAACTTCTTTAGACTCCTCTCAATGTCCTCAATATAGCTCTGATACCACTTGTAAAGATTAAGGACGGAGTCTAGGTGTGTTTAGGAGCTAGAAATACTCAAAATATAAATCCGAAATTCTGGACAGAAAAGTCGTCTTCACAAGAAACGACTTCGACAAAACACTAGCTGTTGGAATGTCGCGAAACTTGTATATATTGTAGCTTGTAATGGTATCTACCGTTCTCAATTTGAATCACGTCGATTGATGGAGTATTCGCGACGCTATGTCTTTCGACGCACTGAGGGGTAAGCTGTAGGAGGAGAACTTAAAAGAATCTCATAAGGAATAAGAGGAGCAAGAGAAAGGTTGGGATGGAAGAGAGGGATTGAGAGGGAAGGTCCCAAGAGAGTCCCCAACCAAGGAAACCCCATAAGCACAAAGATTCCCTCCCTATAGGAACCCCAACTTTGACATTTGTCCCTTCCCAACCAATCCAACCAAGTTGGCCACCCTTGCAAACCTAGCTTGGTTCTTCCCAACCAGTTTGCAGCTGTTACAGTAGAGTGACAAATTTCCCCAACCCCAAAGGTCCCAACTCCATATAGAGTCACCCCACAACTTCACTTTGTAACCGCCGCAATTGTAACGCAAGCTCATGAACTTTGAATCTTCAAAGCTTTCGCGTTCTTGCTCCGATTGAAGGGATTCTTGTTGCGTCGGAAAGATCTTCTCAAGATCTATCATCACAAATAACTGCTCAGACAGAATATCACAAAACACATTCCCAGCCTCTAAAACACACACCACACAAATTCTTTTACATACAGTTAAACCATGCATGCGAATTGAAACAAGGGATGGGAGGCAGACAGAATGTGATAGCATATGATGACATCACACAACAACTACAACAACAATAATGGCTACGGGCATGGGCGCGGTCGATTTGATGGCGAATGTCACGTTTGCCACAAGACCGGCCACATGTGGAGAGATTGCTTCAGATTGCCTGAAGGATGGACCCTTTCTCGATGCCAAGAGGGCAGAGGTGAAAGGGGAGGAAGAGGCAGTGGTAATGGAGGCTGTGGTGGTCGTGGAAGCGAAGCGGCAAGCATGAAAGGTGGAGACTACGAGACAGGCCTAAGTGAAGCAAGCGGCAGCAGCAGGAGGAGGTGTGGAAGGCTTTGAGGAGCCAGCTACTGTGGGAAAGGTCACTCTTCACTCTCTGGACTTTTGGGTGATCGATAGCGGCGCCACCTATAGCATGACACCTCGTGTGGACTTGCTCACCAAACTCGAACTGTTGTCGGTCAAGCATGTTACATCGGCTTTGGGGCAGCGAGCAGAGGTGAAAGGCATGGGCACGGCCAGGTTCAAGGGTGCTGATGGGAAGATGGTGGGCCTCAAGAACGTGCTTTGGGTGCCCAACATTGCAGCCAACCTGATTTCCGTGCGGCGTTTGCAAAAGGCCGGCATGGACACATCTTCCAAGGGATCCAAAACCTATACCGCGAGGCTTCGTGAGCGGAAGCTTTGGGACATCTACAATGAGATTTGGCAAATCCCTATGGTACCCATGCCTAAGGGGACGCAAGTGGCAGCAAGCGTCAGCACCAAGACTGAAGCGGTTGGTGGCGGTGATGACGGAAACCAAGGTGACACCAAGAGTGATGCGAAGAAGTGCAGTCGTGGAGAGACCAGCAAGGCGTGTGAACCCAAGGAGAGTGGTGAAGCAACCAAAGATGGTGAAAATAAGGAGGAGAAGGTTAAGATCAGCAAATAAGCAGTGGCAAAGGATAAAGGAGAGAGCTTGTAGGGCACAATTGCGAGTGCCGCTTTCTCCAACCCATCTTCCACTACGAGATAGTGTGATTGGCTGACCTTGCATCGGCAAATGGGGCATGTGGCATTGCCCATTTTGCAGCAGATAGTTAAGCCAGAGATGGTCATTGAGATACGTGTCAAGGGGGAGCCCAATGAGGTGCTTGGCTGTCCAACATGCATGCAAGCCAAGTTCACCCGCTACCCGTTCCCTAGCTCGGAGACAACGGCGAAGGCACCACTTGATGAGGTGGTGATGGATGTGGTGGGCCCCTTAAAGCTTGGAGCTGCTGGAGCTGAGTAATTCCCCACTATAGTGGATGTCTACACTCGCATGACTTGGGTGTATGTGCTGCTCAAGAATAGTTACGTAGCTGAGACGGTGAAGATTGATTGGTTGGCGATGGTGGAGCGGCAACAAGACCGTCTTATGAATGCGATTTGCACCGACCTTGGGGGAGAGTTCCTGAGCAAGGACTTGGTAGCACCAACCGTGGGGAAGAGTTGTTGAGCAAGGACTCGTCGAATCAGAAGCAAAAAAATGGTCGTCGCAAGTGATTTCGGATCTACCTGGCGGATGGGTTAAGATCCGAAAAATCAGAGTCAGTCTAGACAAAAATCAGCGGCACCTGAATGACTGGGCACTAACGAGGAGAAATCATGACACGAATGTAGTCGCCAAGGACCAGATTTTGTCAAGGGAAATCACCGAGGAGCAGAAAACCTCCGCGAAAATACACCCGATCGTTTTGGGAAACCACGGAAAATACCCTATTTCACCTGAAAATAAGCTTTCTTAATCCTATAAAGAAGCTCTACTTTAGAATGAAATTAAGGTCTCTACTGCTATCAAAAAGTTCTGGGAAGGTCTCCAATTGAAGCAAAAACCTCTGGAAATTATTCCAGTGCCGGCGAACGTTGGGGGGGAATTAAAAGCGGTCAAAGCCAATCGGCCCTTTGTCAGAGCCAATATCCTTTCTCCGAACCAGCCTTCAACGCCACCATGGACCCCATGCAGAGTGGCTACATGGCTGAAGCAGTAGAGGGGGAAGCTGGAGGTCCAAAGGCAGCTACAATGACCTGGAATCCCACCTTCGACGTCGACACCAGTGATGGCACAGACGCGAGCCAACCCTACACCCTACACCCTGGATCCGCCCTTCACACACCACTTGCCTATCACACCTACTGCAGCAGCTGCACTATTAGAATCTAATGGATCCATTATTTCCCATAAGTCCTCCACCCCTATACCCTTTGACCCTCTTAGTGGAAAGATTCTCAACTACACGGGGGAGTCCAAAACTCCTCTGCTCTTGATGGTAGTATGCAACGCCAGAGACATAGTAGATAGCAGAGCCTCCCATATATTTTCCTCCGACACCACCGTCAAACGTCTCGGCTTCTGCAGCAGACCGCCGAACCTCGCCTCCCTCCAAGTGCAAGGGATGAACCATCTCCTCAAAGGCCTCTTCCAGCACGGCTACAACACTGACCCACAGATTCCAGCAGCAGATAGACGCCGACTCCTTCTATGGGACCAAGGGCTTGCATATAAGAAGGGTACTAAGAAGCTGTGGGTACCTAAATATGCACCCTTGAAGCAGCTACCGCTAGAGGAATATCATGACACTGTGTTAGCTGGACACTTTGGCAGCAACAAAACCCTGACAGGCGTCGCCAAATGCTACAACTACCCGAACATGGCGACAGACATCCAGGAGCAGGGCTCTCTTTTGGAAAAAATCGTGTCTAAGGAATCAGACAAGGTTTGCACATTTTGTCCGATGCACTTTTCACTATCAGAGAAGTAGGAAAAAGTTGTCTGATTTTTCAGAGAAATCTAGAACGAATGTCTGAAAATTCAGAGAAACGTATTTGCATAGTCTGTTTGCATGAGATGATGAGACTTGCAGCACTTCAAATAATTAGTGGTTGCGGGTTACAAACGAGCATAACCGCTAAGCGTCCAAACCGGAGACTCTGCTAGGATTTTTGGCCATCTGAAAATCAGACTTGGCTTTGAACTTTCATCTGACCGTCATATGAAGACTTAGGGCATGTCCAGCGACTTCATTTTACCCTAACACGCGCTTTTTACGTCTTCTGTACATGCTCGGAAAAAAACTACGGGGAATGTAGATGTCGCGATGTTCACCTTTCGACCACAGAGAGCATGTTTGCTTCGGCCTTGTGTCCAGCCTTTGACACGACAAATGCTCTGCACAGCGAAAACCAAAAGATATTGGCGAAAGAAATGGAGTTACGGTAGTAGGAGGCCTCCCTGTTTTTGCCACAGCATTGACGAATCTGCCCGAATATGACGAAGTCGTGTATTTACTTTTCGTCAGCCATGATTTGTCGTTTCTGGCGGGAGTTCATTTCGGGCACGATTTCCAGCCGATTTCGAAACGTGCGCAATAGGACTGCTGGCACGCTTCGAGAGCGTCCGCTAAGAACGCACACTTTTCGAGCAGGTCCTAAGGGCGATGAGACTCACGTGACGTGTCACGTGCAGGCAGCCCTCTCTTTTAGCCCTGCCGTTTCAGGGTTTGCCCCCGTCCCCAAGTGGTATGGGGAGGAATGTCTCTGATGTGGGGGGGGGACTTAGCCCATTTTTTCGGGGTGCGAGGGGTGTGGGTGTGGGTGGGGAGGAATGTCTCTGGTGTGGGGAACTTAGCCGATTTTTTTGGGGTGCGAGGGATGTGGGGAGGAAGGAATGTCTCTGGTGTCGGGAACTTAGCATTTTTTTTTGTATGTGAGGGGTGTGGGGAGGAATGTCTCTGGTGTGGGGGACTTCGTCGAAATCTTTGGAGTGTGAGGGGTGTGTGTGGAGCCGGTACACATGAATGTCTCTGTTTCAGAGAAACTCGATTCACTTGTCTAAAATCAGAGAAACTGGTACACCTAGTCTGAGAAATTCAGAGAAATCTTAAAAGCTTGTCTAGGCCAATCAGAGTATTTTCAAACCGTTGTCTGAAAAATCAGAGAAACCCCTAAAAACCAGTCTGAAAATCAAACAATCTGACAAAAAAGTCTGCTATTTAGGACCTTGTCCAGGAGTTTGTTACATCTTGCGATACGTGCCAGCGAATGAAGAGCATTAAGCAGAAGGCCTCCTCCAACCACTGCCCGTTCCTGTACAGCCTTGGCATACAGTGAGCCTGGACTTCATTATAGGATACCCGCGTATGGCAGTAGGACACGATGCAATCATGGTGGTTATCGACAAATTCAAAAAAATCGGCCACTTCATCGCTACGCACGCGAACGCCACTACCATAGAAACTGCTCGACTGTTCTTCTACCGAGTCGCTTACCTCCATGAGATCCCCAGGACTGATTTCTGACAGAGATCTGAAGTTCACTAGCAAGTTTGGAAGGAACTCATGTGACTCCTTGAAACTCGTCTGCGATGTCATCCGCCTACCATCCACAGACTGATGGGCAGACAAAATGACTAAACCGGATCATGGAAGCTGCTGAGGGTTGCCTCAAGGATGGCACAAGCATGTGGGACCAGCAGTTACATCTACTGGAATTCTCATACAACAACGCTAACCACTGTGCTACAGGACAAACACCGTTCTTCCTTTGCTACGGACGGCATCCCCTCACTCCACAATAGCCTCTTGTTCCTGCTCAAGTTCAACCGGCACACGACTTCATCACTGCCATGCATCAACTCTAGGATACTACACAAAAGCACCTCCACAAGGAGCAAACCTCCCAGAAAGGACAAGTAGATAAGAGCCAAAGGGACCATCAGATACAGATTGAATACTCTGTTCTGTTGGACACTAGGAACCTTGACCTTCGCCACATCCCTTCTAAGCTTCTGCCTCAGTTCTGTGGACCCT